TTTAGTGTCTTTTTACCCGACGTGACCCCATCTTTTATATTTTACCAAAAAATTGGGTAATAATAAATGTTTTATCATTTAATATAGGGGAAACTGTTTTTTTTTTTAAATTTCGGTAATTTTTCCTTAATATAGTAAAAAAATAAAACCCCCAGTGGTGAATAAATACCACCAAAAGAAAGCTCTATCTGTCCCCAAAAAAGGGTATAAAATTCATTTCAGTACAGCGCTGCATGACGGAATAAATGTCAGTCAAAGTACCGCAGCGCTGAATACTGAAAAATGGCCTGGATGGGAAGGGGGTTTAACACCGCGGATGTCAACTGGTTAAAGTGACACTAAAGTCCAAAGTTACATCCTAAAAATCCCTGCGAGTCCCTGAACTCTGAGCAACAACGTATCTTATTTGTGTATCACTCAGCTGCAGGTCCTCCAATCATCTCTGACACCGTCCTTCCTTCTGGACGGGGGCTATGTCTGTTCCCCTTGGTCCCTGTGTGTTGTAGAGTAGTCACCGCTCCAAGCTCTTGTCAGAGATGATTGGAGGATCTCCAGCCGAGCGATACAAATAAGATACATTGTTGCTCAGAGTTCGGGGACTGGGAGGGATTTGTAGGATGTAACTTCGGAGTTTATTATTGTCTTTGTGTATATAGATGAGATTGTTTTTGGTCTTGTGGAAGTTTTTGTATTGCAGTCTGCATCTCCGCTGGGGAGGTTCACCCCTCTAGTGCCTCCGGTGACCATTGTCTCCGGCGGAGAAAGTAAGTAGAAATCTAAAATGTTAGAGTAGTCACCAGAGCAGGAAGTGAAGGGGAAGCTTCTGATGAGGACATAGAGGGGAAAATACCTGAATGATCGTGCTACAGCAATGCCGGCGGTCCAGAGCGGTGCGATTGCAAAAAATGGTGCATGAATGGCGGCACCTGATAGGTTTACAGAGGCGTCATTGAACACAATAGTACATTACATCTCCGCGACGTCCTGCTTTCCATGCCCCTGACTAAGTCATTAAGAGACGTAATGCGCATTGGGCGGAGGTCGGTAGCGGCCATCAGTGTATTACACGGTGTTCGGGGATCTGAGGAGAGAGGGGGTCCCTTTTTGTTTTGAACATTGCGGCCGGATATTTATTAACGATCTTTGCTGGATTTGTGCTTTTAATTGCGAGTATCATTTTAAATAAAAGTTCTTTGAGATTTTATGGGGTGCGCTATGATATGTTCTCAACTTCTTGCCTGAGTACACCGGGAACAACAGGAGCCTGACAGGAGCCGTATCAGGCATTCGGCGGCACAATCCCCCGCCCCCGCCTCAGGGCACAGAGGGACCTGCTGTGGTGGGACCTCGATTCGGGGGGGGTCCAATTGGAGGGTTCTGGAGAGGGAGTTATCCTAGAGAAAGGTGGAGGAACGTTTGACAAGTGTGTGTTTCCAGAAGAAACACAGAGCAGGGAGCGGGGAAAACTCCCCGACTGTTGATTTGCTCTGTATGACACCTCATAGTCTACTCTACAGAGACTCACCCGGCCGAATGTCTCAGTCGTTTTGCACTTATTGAGGTTTGAGGGTCCGTTCACACCAGATGCAGTGCGTTCCGGTCTGATTCGGTCTGATTCTGGCCGGAACGCACTGCATCGCAGTGTGGTGGCGTGGGGGGCCATTGAAGTGAATGGCACCATAGCCACGCCCTCCGGCTGCAATGCGATCGCCCGCACGGGATTGCAAGGCACATTGTGCCCTTCGGTCCGTCCGGTGCCATCAAAATAGTGCTTGCAGCATTTGGATCGCACCGCACCTGACTGCAGGCATAATGTGCCTTGCAATCCCGTGTAGACAATCGCATTGCGGCCAGCGATCGCCACAGCGGTAGTGCACCATCCCTGGTCCTGCCCCATTCATATCTTTATCTTTAGGTGCAATTAGGGATTCCTGCATCAGAAACTTGCATTTTCCTGCAGCAGGAATCCCTAATCTGGTGTTTACAAGCGGCTGCTCTCACCCATACAAGTTAACGATCAGGTGACAGCAGTTGCATGTAAAGATACACTATATGATTACATTCGGTTAGGAATCAATCACTCTCCCTGGACGTGATGCTTGTGCATCCAGGGAAGAGTGTGTTCTCATCACTACATGCGGTGTGCAGGCGTTTACATGCAGAGGCTGTAACCTGATCGTTAACTTGTATGGGTGTCAGCAGCCGCTTGTAAACGCCAGATTAGGGATTCCTGTATTGGGGTCCGTAGTACCAATCTGTGTATAGTTACATTTTAACACACACCCTCTTTTATTTGTTATACATTTTTTTCTAATTATTTGTACATTTCTTTAATCTTACTATTTTTTTACTTTTTATCATTTTAATATTTTTTTTACTTATTTTTTCGTAAATTTTTATTTAATAACTTTTTTTATGAATTTTTTTTTTCCCACTTAGCTAGCTCCTGTGTGATAGCATTTGGAGGTGACAGGTTCAATAAAGAGAACCTGTCACCTCCAATACAGGAGTTCTAGCAGCATAGCACTGTGCTAGAACTCCTGTGACAGCTGAGAGGAAGGGCCGCGAGTGCAGCTCTCCCCTCACTGTCTACTCGACCCGGCGTGCATGGTAGCTACATCCTTTAAATTTAAATGCTGTGTTCGGGTTTCATGGCAGCAGAAACCCGGACACAAGATGTCAGGCAGACAGGGGCAACCACAATTAACATAGGGGCTACTGCCCACCCCCTCCCCCCCCACTGAAAATAGTCTCAACTGTGATATTTACATATGAATGGGTGGCACTATTTACGTATGAATAAGCCACATTCTCCCCAAAACATGTCCGTGCCTCGCTAGAGTGTTCGGGTTTCACATGAAAAAAAGGTGGCAACCCTACGCTGGCGCCGACCTGCCTATATGGTAGCGCCGGGCCTGGCTGTGAGCTTCTCAAAGAACATGGGTCATGTGGGGCTGGTTAGCAATAAATAGTCAGAGAGAGAGTTTGGGGGTTCTCCAGAAGTGCACCATCACTTGTTTTGATGCCTAAAGTATATGTTGGAGCAGTTGGGATTGGAAATAACCCTCCAGTTTTGTATCCAGTCAGGCTACGTAGGGGGTCTTCATGGGGGTGCGGAGCACATGGCTTCCATTTGGCAACACCGAATGCAGTTCGAGGGCCTCTACGAGTTCTTACTTCTTATAGAAAAGCCTCGGCCTGTGCTTGTCTCTAGTATATTTGGGCCTAGCCTTGCTACTCCTAAGTGTCCTGCTGCTGGATAATTTTACTCTGCTGTGTCATCTGCAGTCTCCTAATTCTTGTAGTGAAACCCCGTCAGCTCCTTCTATAGTATGTTTCAGAAACTGGAGTCTGAGAACCCTTAGCGACTGAAACCCGGACAGCATCCCTTCTACCCGGAAGTCCTAAGAATCCAAAAAATGTATCAACTTTCCAGCCCAACCAACCAAATGAAGTCAGCAATGGTTGGCTGGGCTGATACATATTCATAAGTCGCAGTGTTTCCTCTGACCAGCACTTGAAACTCATGCTTCATTCACAGCGCCGGCACTGCAGCCAATCGGGATACAGCTTTCCACATTGGCACCGTGGCCTTTAATTGAGAAGCAATATGTGGCTCAGTCTGCGAACAATGCATTGCAATTGAGCTAGTCGAGCCCCCCTGGTGCAGTAACCTCGCCTATCTTATGTGACTGCCTCCAGCCAGGGCCGGATTTACTCTTCTCTGCTGCCCCATGGCCAGGTTCCTCAACGCACCCCCCTACCTGACAACCCCGCCAACCCCAGCCTGGGAGAATGGGAGACCTGCAGGCTGCATACAATGTCGCCAAGATCACTTATACAAAACAAGCGGCCGCTTCCCTGCTGTACAGTTAGCTCTGCTTGGCCAAAGCCGGGATAAATGTAGAATACAACTACCCACCCCCAGCATCAGGAGATATCAGTTCCACACCCCTGCTGCCCCTCAACTCCTACTCCCCGTTGCCCCAAGGCCGGCCTTGGTTGGCCTTGTGGGAAATCCAGCCCTGCCTCCAGCCCTATGTGACCCCAGCTGCTGGTGTTTGCTCTACTGTCCCTCTTGTGCCCCAGTGTCTCCAGAGCATTCCTGTGTCATCTAGTGACTCCAAGTGCACCCCAGTCACTCTGTTGCCACCTGTACACCCTAGTAAGTCCACTGTGCCCTCTGCACCCCAGTGTCTCCAGTGTGCCCAGAGCATCCTGTCATCGGATGACTCAAAGTACGTCTTTGCACCTCCATGGCAACTCTGTCCCCACACTACATTTCTGCATCATCTGGATAATCCTCCTGGATACTGACCCCTGTCCGTGACACATGGCGGGATCACCAGAGATTAGTTTTGAAAGCTTAAATGGGATTGTATTATGTAAAAATGATGTATAAGGAAACATTTCAAGATGTTGCCATAAATGTACTTCACAAGTCACCAGTTTATGTTCCTCTTATTTCCCAGGCGCGGGAACATCACAGACGACCCTCTTAGTGGTCAGATACAAGGACCGGCTCCACTTCCATATGGATTATCAAAAAAAAAACTCAAAACGGACTTTGGTCTTCTTCAGCATCTTATTACTGGGAAGTATCTCCTACTTTGCATTTGCCTATTTTCAGATGGAAAGACAATCAGCCAAAATAAATGTTGAAATAAAATACAAGCCAATGGCAGCGTCACACACCGTGACAAATCACTCAGGGAAGTCAAGCCAATTGGCTGTGCCAAAGTGTCCGAGGCCACCTCAGGCACTGGGGACCTCCGATGAGCCTCTGCTGACCATCTTACTTTGGACGTGGCCATTAGGATACCAGTTTCCTCTAAATAGATGTCCAAACTCTGAAAGCTCCGGCTGTTTCTACACTGTGAACCGCAGCGCGTACTCTATGGCAGACGCTGTTGTCATCAGTCATAGGGATGTACAAAAGTCAGAAGAGCTTTTACCTCCAGCACTGAGGCCACCTCACCAATACTGGATCTGGTTTAACATGGAGTCTCCAACCAACACCCCAAATTTAGCCTTCATGGAAAACAAAATTAACCTCACAATGTCTTACCGTCTCGATTCAGACATTTATACTCCAATGGGATGGCTAGAAAAAGTCGATGGAAAAGAAAATTTTACTATCCCCAAAAAGTCAAAGCTGGTGGCATGGACAGTAAGCAACTGGAAGCCGAAGTACAGACGAACCAAATATTACGAGGAGTTAAAGAAATACATTCCAGTGGACGTCTATGGAAAATATGGTTTGCCACTGCCACAAAATGAGACATTGCAAACTCTGGCCACGTATAAGTTCTACCTCGCCTTCGAGAATTCCATACATGAGGATTACATCACGGAGAAGTTCTGGAGAAGTTCACTAATAGCGGGAACTGTGCCCATCGTCATGGGTCCTCCACGTAAGAACTACGAGCGCTTCGTTCCACCCGACGCTTTCATTCACGTTGATGACTTTTCGTCTCCCCAGGAACTGGCTGAACATCTTCTGAGTCTGGATAAAGATGAGGAAAGATACCGACAGTATTTTAACTGGAGGGCCAAATATCAGCCGACAAGATTTCCTACCAATTTTCAGTCAGCGTACTGCCAAATATGCAAAGTATTGAAAAGGACTCCTCCTTATAGGACCATACCGAGCATTGCTGAATGGTTCAAGTGAACTTATTGCATCCATGTCTATCCAAAAATCAAGGCTGTAAGGCCACTAGATGGAGCCGAGGAGCACAGGAATTTTCTATACTCCTTGGCTTCATCTAGTGGCCATAGAGTGCTGCGAATCTCATATAAATCAGCCCCCAAAAGTTGTCACTAATAATCACATGAACGTAAGTGGCCATTTACTGTCAGCTAATGTGTCACTTAAATTGAGTCTAAAGGAATTTATTTTCAATAGAGTATTGAGGGATTAGGTAGGTGAGGTAGCGCAGGACATGTTCAGAGGGAGGTAGTCCATGATTTTGCTGGGATGCTCCACACAACGACTAAAGAACCAAACACAGAATCCAACCCCCACAGGATACAGCTACAACATTATGGAAATCTCTAGAGAAGGAGGAGCCTTAAAGGAGAACTATGAGGGGGAGGGGCTTTTCACTCACCTCATAGTTCTAGCCGACCTGTGACAATGAGACTGTCACAGGTCGGCACATTAGATCGGGAGGTGAGCGAACACATACCGGGTTCGCTCACCTCTCGATCCTGTCACTGCAGAGAGCCGTGACAGGGGGAGGGGCTGGATTCCCCTCTCCGATCCGCCAGCACTGACTGGCAGAACGGACGGGGGAGGGGGCGGCGGGTACAGCTGGCTCTGCCTCTAGATAGGCAGAGCCGGCTGTCAGTCACGCTGCTGGGCGGATCTAGACATCGATGTCGGGATCCGCTCCGGCTGCGGCGTCTCAGTATATAGGGAGTTGTAGCTCGCGGTATACTGTTGCCTATATGGTAGCGCCGGGCCTGGCTGTGAGCTTCTCAAAGAACATGGGTCATGTGGGGCTGGTTAGCAATAAATAGTCAGAGAGAGAGTTTGGGGGTTCTCCAGAAGTGCACCATCACTTGTTTTGATGCCTAAAGTATATGTTGGAGCAGTTGGGATTGGAAATAACCCTCCAGTTTTGTATCCAGTCAGGCTACGTAGGGGGTCTTCATGGGGGTGCGGAGCACATGGCTTCCATTTGGCAACACCGAATGCAGTTCGAGGGCCTCTACGAGTTCTTACTTCTTATAGAAAAGCCTCGGCCTGTGCTTGTCTCTAGTATATTTGGGCCTAGCCTTGCTACTCCTAAGTGTCCTGCTGCTGGATAATTTTACTCTGCTGTGTCATCTGCAGTCTCCTAATTCTTGTAGTGAAACCCCGTCAGCTCCTTCTATAGTATGTTTCAGAAACTGGAGTCTGAGAACCCTTAGCGACTGAAACCCGGACAGCATCCCTTCTACCCGGAAGTCCTAAGAATCCAAAAAATGTATCAACTTTCCAGCCCAACCAACCAAATGAAGTCAGCAATGGTTGGCTGGGCTGATACATATTCATAAGTCGCAGTGTTTCCTCTGACCAGCACTTGAAACTCATGCTTCATTCACAGCGCCGGCACTGCAGCCAATCGGGATACAGCTTTCCACATTGGCACCGTGGCCTTTAATTGAGAAGCAATATGTGGCTCAGTCTGCGAACAATGCATTGCAATTGAGCTAGTCGAGCCCCCCTGGTGCAGTAACCTCGCCTATCTTATGTGACTGCCTCCAGCCAGGGCCGGATTTACTCTTCTCTGCTGCCCCATGGCCAGGTTCCTCAACGCACCCCCCTACCTGACAACCCCGCCAACCCCAGCCTGGGAGAATGGGAGACCTGCAGGCTGCATACAATGTCGCCAAGATCACTTATACAAAACAAGCGGCCGCTTCCCTGCTGTACAGTTAGCTCTGCTTGGCCAAAGCCGGGATAAATGTAGAATACAACTACCCACCCCCAGCATCAGGAGATATCAGTTCCACACCCCTGCTGCCCCTCAACTCCTACTCCCCGTTGCCCCAAGGCCGGCCTTGGTTGGCCTTGTGGGAAATCCAGCCCTGCCTCCAGCCCTATGTGACCCCAGCTGCTGGTGTTTGCTCTACTGTCCCTCTTGTGCCCCAGTGTCTCCAGAGCATTCCTGTGTCATCTAGTGACTCCAAGTGCACCCCAGTCACTCTGTTGCCACCTGTACACCCTAGTAAGTCCACTGTGCCCTCTGCACCCCAGTGTCTCCAGTGTGCCCAGAGCATCCTGTCATCGGATGACTCAAAGTACGTCTTTGCACCTCCATGGCAACTCTGTCCCCACACTACATTTCTGCATCATCTGGATAATCCTCCTGGATACTGACCCCTGTCCGTGACACATGGCGGGATCACCAGAGATTAGTTTTGAAAGCTTAAATGGGATTGTATTATGTAAAAATGATGTATAAGGAAACATTTCAAGATGTTGCCATAAATGTACTTCACAAGTCACCAGTTTATGTTCCTCTTATTTCCCAGGCGCGGGAACATCACAGACGACCCTCTTAGTGGTCAGATACAAGGACCGGCTCCACTTCCATATGGATTATCAAAAAAAAAACTCAAAACGGACTTTGGTCTTCTTCAGCATCTTATTACTGGGAAGTATCTCCTACTTTGCATTTGCCTATTTTCAGATGGAAAGACAATCAGCCAAAATAAATGTTGAAATAAAATACAAGCCAATGGCAGCGTCACACACCGTGACAAATCACTCAGGGAAGTCAAGCCAATTGGCTGTGCCAAAGTGTCCGAGGCCACCTCAGGCACTGGGGACCTCCGATGAGCCTCTGCTGACCATCTTACTTTGGACGTGGCCATTAGGATACCAGTTTCCTCTAAATAGATGTCCAAACTCTGAAAGCTCCGGCTGTTTCTACACTGTGAACCGCAGCGCGTACTCTATGGCAGACGCTGTTGTCATCAGTCATAGGAATGTACAACAGTCAGAAGAGCTTTTACCTCCAGCACTGAGGCCACCTCACCAATACTGGATCTGGTTTAACATGGAGTCTCCAACCAACACCCCAAATTTAGCCTTCATGGAAAACAAAATTAACCTCACAATGTCTTACCGTCTCGATTCAGACATTTATACTCCAATGGGATGGCTAGAAAAAGTCGATGGAAAAGAAAATTTTACTATCCCCAAAAAGTCAAAGCTGGTGGCATGGACAGTAAGCAACTGGAAGCCGAAGTACAGACGGACCAAATATTGCGAGGAGTTAAAGAAATACATTCCAGTGGACGTCTATGGAAAATATGGTTTGCCACTGCCACAAAATGAGACATTGCAAACTCTGGCCACGTATAAGTTCTACCTCGCCTTCGAGAATTCCATACATGAGGATTACATCACGGAGAAGTTCTGGAGAAGTTCACTAATAGCGGGAACTGTGCCCATCGTCATGGGTCCTCCACGTAAGAACTACGAGCGCTTCGTTCCACCCGACGCTTTCATTCACGTTGATGACTTTTCGTCTCCCCAGGAACTGGCTGAACATCTTCTGAAACTGGATAAAGATGAGGAAAGATACCGACAGTATTTTAACTGGAGGGCCAAATATCAGCCGACAAGATTTCCTACCAATTTTCAGTCAGCGTACTGCCAAATATGCAAAGTATTGAAAAGGACTCCTCCTTATAGGACCATACCGAGCATTGCTGAATGGTTCAAGTGAACTTATTGCATCCATGTCTATCCAAAAATCAAGGCTGTAAGGCCACTAGATGGAGCCGAGGAGCACAGGAATTTTCTATACTCCTTGGCTTCATCTAGTGGCCATAGAGTGCTGCGAATCTCATATAAATCAGCCCCCAAAAGTTGTCACTAATAATCACATGAACGTAAGTGGCCATTTACTGTCAGCTAATGTGTCACTTAAATTGAGTCTAAAGGAATTTATTTTCAATAGAGTATTGAGGGATTAGGTAGGTGAGGTAGCGCAGGACATGTTCAGAGGGAGGTAGTCCATGATTTTGCTGGGATGCTCCACACAACGACTAAAGAACCAAACACAGAATCCAACCCCCACAGGATACAGCTACAACATTATGGAAATCTCTAGAGAAGGAGGAGCCTTAAAGGAGAACTATGAGGGGGAGGGGCTTTTCACTCACCTCATAGTTCTAGCCGACCTGTGACAATGAGACTGTCACAGGTCGGCACATTAGATCGGGAGGTGAGCGAACACATACCGGGTTCGCTCACCTCTCGATCCTGTCACTGCAGAGAGCCGTGACAGGGGGAGGGGCTGGATTCCCCTCTCCGATCCGCCAGCACTGACTGGCAGAACGGACGGGGGAGGGGGCGGCGGGTACAGCTGGCTCTGCCTCTAGATAGGCAGAGCCGGCTGTCAGTCACGCTGCTGGGCGGATCTAGACATCGATGTCGGGATCCGCTCCGGCTGCGGCGTCTCAGTATATAGGGAGTTGTAGCTCGCGGTATACTGAGCCTAGGGTGACGGGAGGACACTAGTTTGTGTCCTCCCGTTACCCCAAGGAGAACTATGGGGAAAAGCCCTGACCCCGTACTTCTCCTTTAATCACCCGAAATGTGTTGTATAAAAAGTTCATAGAAAAATATCCACCAAAAAACATAATATTGTCTTATAACTGGTTGGGGTTCTTTATTTATAACGCTCGTCACCAACCAACTCAAAAGCTTTGTATAGCTGTCTGTGTCTCCATTGGGGAGATCCCCACCCCCTCTCTATTTGTCCTGGTGACTATTGTTGCTTGGACAGAAAGTGATGGGATGTCCAACATTTGTCATCAGAGCAATACCTATCGTTTTTGATTTGGAGGAAGTGTTCAGGTCTTATCTGACCCAAAAAACATTCACGGCGATGAATAATCACAAACTGTATATAGAAATAATTAATACATTGTAAAACATGAACATTGATCACAATGACGCGATTCCCAAATTCTTTATTAGGAACACCGACTTATTCATGCACTTAAAGGAGAACTATGGGGTTAGGGCTTTTCCCCATAGTTCTCCTCAGGGTAACAGGAGGACACAAACTAGCGTCCTCCCATCACCCTATGCTCAGTATATAGGGAGCTACAGCTCGCGGTATACGGGGACGCCGCAGCCGGAACGGATCCCGACAATTATGTCTG